GATGAAATGAGGATAAAATGATGATAAAATGAAGATTTGATGAGGAAATGAGGATAAAATAAGGATAAAATGAAAATAAAATGAGGATTTAATCAAGATTTAATGAGGAATTGATGAGAAAATGAAGATAAAATGAAGATAAAATGCAGATAAAATGAAGATAAAATGAGGATTTGATGAGGAAATGATAATAAAACGCGGATAAAATGAGGATAAAATGAGGATTTAATGGGGATTTGATGAGGAAATGAGGAGGAAATGAAGATTTAATGAGGATTTGACGGCAGATGTTCCAGTGAGCTATTTGACGGCCCACGATCTGCTACAATACAAGTCTTGAGGGGATGGAAAAAAGGCAGTTTGCTCAGCTCTTTCTGGGACCCCGGAAGAGGTTCTATAATTCTATAATTTAGCTAAACCCAAAAGGTCGCTGCGGCCTGTTTTTGAAGTTATTTAGACGTATTGAACGTGGGGGGGCGTACGGCCATCTGAACGAGGGTACGGCGGGGGTGCGAACGGGGGACGAACCGGGGGGCGAACGGGGGGCGAACGCACACATGCACACACGTACGCACATACGTACGCACAGACGTACGCACGTACGTTCGCACGTATGCACGTACGTAAGTACCATGTTCAGACCCATGTTCAAGCCCATGTTCAGACCCATGTTCAGAAATAAGGTTACCTTTGAAAAGTGACCTCCTAATACTAAATATGTTTTAGGGGGCTTAGGGTCGTACAGAAATAAGGTTACCTTTTATATAAAAGGTAACCTTAAAGGTAACCTTATTTCTGAACATGCATGTGAACGTGCGTGCGTACATGCACATGAACGTGCGTGCGTGCATGCGTACGTACGTGCGTACATGCGTATGTGCGACCCCTTCGTGCGACCCCTTCATGCGCCCTCAAGGGGGTGGGCCCGCCCTCAAAATTGCATGGGTTTCGAATACCAACAACTTTGTACCAGTATTCTTGGGTTGTATAGTAGGTGTACAATAATTTCGGCACAGGTTGACTGTACTAATTGTCACCAGGCAAAACAAGACTAATCGAATCGTTCGCCTGTCCGCTCGCCCCCCCGCTCGCCACCCCGCTCGCTCGTGCGGGCGACGTTCGTCCACCCGTTCGCCCGCATGTTCGCCCCTACGTTCGCCCCCCTGCTAACCCCTCGTGCGGTTTTCAACATATCCACGGCAGCGAGTTTTTGAGTTTAGCTAATCTATAATTAATTTTTCCGTTCTACAATTAATTTTTCCGTTCGACGGAAAAATGAATTATAGAACGGAGAAAAATAATTATAGAACGAACATGGGAAATGTGAGACAAATGGGGGAAAACAGAATTATAGAACAACAGCGCTCCGACAAGAATTATAGAGCGACGAAAAAAGTTAGGAGTAAATTCAGATACGTTTTTTTCATACCTTCCGAGGAAAACAGAATTATAGAACAACAGGGTACGGTAAATAACCGTACCTTCGTACTCCTCAACTTCCGTTCTATAATTCTGGCACTGACAGTATACACAGGCAATTTTAAATGCAAATGCTTGTAGACACATAGGCAATTTACAAACAGAAGTTTTAACACAGAGAGAAAATTGCACACATAGGAGCCTCTACACAGAGCAGTCTTTCCACACATACGCTTCTACACACAAATGCTTTTACACACAGAGGATTTTACACACAGGAGCTTTGATGCACAGAAGCTTTTAACAAACGCTTTCATACGCAGAAGCTTGTACACACATGGGGTGTTGCACACAGACGCCTTTTAAAATGAAACTTTTTGCAGAGAGAAGCTAAGCCTTTACAGTTAATTAGAAGATTTTACACACAGAAGTTTTACACACAGAGGCTTTTGCACAGAAGCTTTTGCACAGAGAACATGTGTCACAAAGAAGCCTTTACCCAGAGCAACTTTCACACGCAGAAGCTTTTACACACACAGAAGCTTTTACACACGCAATGCTTTTTCACAGAGCAGCCTTGAGACAGAGCAGCTTTTACACACAGAAGTTTTTACACACAGAGGCTTTTACACAGAAGCTTTTACACAGAGAAGCTTTTACACAGAGAATTTTGCACAGAGGAGTTTACACACAGACGCTTTTACGCACAGAAGCTTTTACACAGGAAAGCTTTTACGCACAGAAGTTTTTATACATAGACGCCCTTACACGCAGATGCTTTTACACAGAATAGTCTTTACACACAAACGCTTTTACACGCAGATTGTAGACACAGACGCATTTACAAACAGAAGTTTTAACACAGAGAGAAAATTGCACACATAGGAGCCTCTACACAGAGCAGTCTTTCCACACATACGCTTCTACACACAGATGCTTTTACACACAGATGATTTTACACACAGGAGCTTTGACGCACAGAAGCTTTTTAACAGACGCTTTCATACGCAGAAGCTTGTACACACATGGGTTTTTGCACACAGACGCCTTTTAAAATGAAACTTTTTGCAGAGAGAAGCTAAGCCTTTACAGTCAATTAGAAGATTTTACACACAGAAGTTTTACACACAGAGGCTTTTGCACAGAAGCTTTTGCACACAGAACATGTGTCACAGAGAAGCCTTTACCCAGAGCAACTTTTCACATGCAGAAGCATTTACACACAGAAGCTGTTACACACGCAATGCTTGTTCACGGAGCCTTTAGACAGCAGCTTTTACACACAGAAGCATCAGAAGCTTTTACACGGGAAAGCCTCTTGCACAGAGAAACTTTCGCACGCAGAAGCCTGTACACAGAGCAGCTTTTACACAAAGATTCTTTTTGCACCGAGGAGTTTTTACACACAAACGCTTTTACGGACAGAAGCTTTTACACAGGAAAGCTTTTATGCACAGAAGTTTTCATACATAGACGCCCTTACACGCAGAAGCTTTTATTATACAGAATAGTTTTTACGCACAGACGCTTTTACAGGCAGATGCTTGTAGACACAGAGGCTGTTACATTGTAGACACAGAGGCTCTTACTTACAAACAAAGGTTTTAACACACAAAATTTGTTTTACACAGAGAACCGTTTACACAGAGCAGTTTTAAAGTGTTTCCGCACAGAGGCCTTTACACACAGAAGCCTTTAAACACAGAAGAAGTTTTTACGCACAGGAGCTTTTACACACACAGAAGCTTTTACACATACGCGCCTTTACACACAGAAGCTTTTACACACAGGGGCTTTGACAAAGAGGCTTTTCGACAGAGAAGCTGTTACACAGAGCAGCCTTTACACAGAGCAGCTTTTACACGGGAGCCTTTGTACAGAGCAACCTTTACACACCAATGCTTTTACAAACAGGAACTTTTACACGCAGACGCCTTTACGCAAAGAATATTTTACACAGAAGCTTCTACAGACGGATGCTTCTACACACAAACGCTCTTACACACTGGGCTTTAGACTCAGCAGCTCTTGCACAGAAAAGCTCTTACATACAAATTTATCACACACACAGAAATAAAGCTTTTACACAGCGAAGCTCTTGCACAGAAAAGCTTTCACACAGCAAACCTTTTTTCACCGACAAGTTTTTACACCCTGCAGCTTATACACACAGGAACTTTTACATGCAGGAGCTTTTACACAGACGCCTTTACACAAAGAAGCTTTTACACACAGAAACTTCCACATGCAGAAGCCTTTAGACAGAGCAGCTTTCACGCACAGAAGCTTTTACACACAGAAGCCTTTACGCACAGAAGCTTGTACACCCAGCGGCTTTTACACACCGAAGCTTTTACAAAGGGAAGCTTTTACACAGAGAACCTTTCAACAGAGCAGCTCTTACACGCTTCAAATTCCCAACCCGCCTCTTCTCCCGACCCATTTCCGCCCATTCTCTTGCATCCACACTGGGCCCTTCTCCATGGCACCCATTTCCATCCGTGCCCTTGCCCCCGCAGCGACCGTGCACGTCCGCGCATCCACCCTCGCTCATGCCCACTGCAACATGGCCCTTCTCCCCACCCATTTCCATCCGTATCCTTGCACCCTTCTCCCCACGCATTTCCACCCTTTCCCTTGCACCCGCACCGTCCGCACATCCGTGCATCCACGCTGGCTCAAGCCCACCTTGCGCCCAAGCCGTCCGCGCACGTCCCCCATTTCAATCTTTTCCATCCCTTCCCTGGCACGCACCGACGCCGTCCGCACACGGCCGCGCAACTGAGCTCGCGCCCCGCGCAGTTAGCACACTAAACGAGAACCCAAGCATCGAAGATGCTTCTGGGGAAAAACCGCCGGCCTGCCGGCGTGTTTTGTGGATGTTCTGGTAGCTTTCACCTATGGATTGCTTCTGCGCGGATTTTTGCTTTACTTCATTGCTCCGGCTGGGTACAGCCTTTCGGTTGAGGCTTGGTACACCTTCGGTTGAGTCCCTGTTCGACAGTATCTCCTGGCTTAGCTTGTGTTATAACTTTAATTTCTTCGTCAGCTTCTTCTAAAAATGGCTCCCTAGCTTTAACTTGTTCTGGTTTGAGATTGAATTCTAGTTCCAGCTAAAGTTAAAATTTGATCCTGTTCAGTTTTAATTCGAGTTCTAGTCCTGGCTACAGCAGGACCTTGCTCTTATTCAAGCTTTAGATTTTAGCCTAGCCCTAGCTCCAGCAATGGCTTGATCTTGTTCTAGCTTGAAGTTGAAATCTAGTTCTAGCTCTAGCTATGGCTTTAGGTTGAGACCTACTTGTCCAAGGAAGTTGGGAAGCAATCTTCCAAGTTACGGACGACTTTTACCTGTAACAATACACTCAATGAAGGGTGGTGTGAGACTGTGGTGTGAGACTTGACATCACATAACAAAACACTCAATGAAGGGTGGTGTGAGACTGTGGTGTGAGACTTGACACCACATAAAATTACATTCGTGTAATGGCTGTATGATTGTTGTCATCTGGTGTTGCCATGTGCGAAGAGAGATGCAGGCCCGCTACGGGATGCTGCGAATAGTATTGTAATGGCCGCATGAATGTTGCATGGGCTTTGTTTTGGGGAGGAAGCCGGAGAACGAAACCTTGTATTTTTCCGTGTAAAGTGGCTGCAGCCGGCGATGAAAGGTACCTCGTGTGTGCGGCGGTTGCGGCTGCGGTCGTTCCGGGCGTAATGGGTTCCTCCTCTGTGTTCTGCCACGAGTGGTTGTTCTTGTGTGCGTACTTCTATTCTTTTCTTGAATCTGTGGTTGCAGATCGCATTGGAGAGGCTGCATGATTGTTGTCATCTTGTGTTGCCATGTGCGTAGAGAGATGCAGGTTTGCGACGAGATGCTGCGAAATGTATTGTAATGGCTGCATGCATGTTGCATGGGCTGTGTTTTGGGGAGGAAGCCGGAGCACGAAACCTTGTATTTTTCCGTGTAAAGTGGCTGCAGCCGGCGATGAAAGGTACCTCGTGTGTGCGGCGGTTGCGGCTGCGGTCGTTCCGGGCGTAATGGGTTCCTCCTCTGTGTTCTGCCACGAGTGGTTGTTCCTGTGTGCGTAGTTCTATTCTTTTCTTGAATCTGTGGTTGCAGATCGCATTGGAGTGGCTGCATGATTGTTGTAATCCGGTGTTGCCACGTGCGTAGAGAGACGCAGGTTTGCTACAGGATGCTGCGAAATGTATTGTAATGGCTGCATGTATGTTGCATGGGCTTTGTTTTGGGGGGAAGCCGGAGCACGAAACCTTGTATTTTTCCGTGTGAAGTGGCTGCAGCCGGCGATGAAAGGTACCTCGTGTGTGCGGCGGTTGCGGCTGCGGTCGTTCCGGGCGTAATGGGTTCCTCCTCTGTGTTCTGCCACGAGTGGTTGTTCCTGTGTGCGTACTTCTATTCTTTTCTTGAATCTGTGGTTGCAGATCGCATAGGAGTGGTTGCGTGAAGGTTGCTTGGTGCCGCGGCTGCATGCGTAATACTAGTGTCTTTTGCAGCTTGATCTCGTAAATAGTATTGGAGTGGCTGTAGGAAAGCTGCGACAATGATTTGTCAGCAGATTTTCTCAATTTTTGCTCTAGCAATTTTCCTTGTAAAATTCCTTTCAAAAAGTGCTTCAAAATCTTCTTTTTTTCGCTTTGGCGTCGAGATCCGGTTGTGGAGCTGCAATTTCCGACGCCGTTGCGCGTAGTTCTTCTGTGTTTCGCAAGTCAGTGTCTGCAGATCGCATTGTAGTGGCTGCGTCAAGGTTCTCCTTGCAATGATTTTTGTGTGCAAGAGACTTCTCTGTGGCAGTAAAAGCTTTGTGACATGCAGAAGAGCTAAGATGAATTGAGAGGAGCTTCGATGAGATGAGCAAGGTTGAACAGTGCTCAAGTTGAGCAGTTGAGAAGAACTTAGATGACATATGAGAAGAGATGAGATGAGATGAGATGAGACGAGAAGAGCTGAGATGAGGTGAGGAGAGCTCAGATGAGATGAGATGAAGTGTGGAGTGCGAAGTGTAAGTGCGAAGTGTGAAGTGTGAAGAGTGTAGTGTGAAGTGTGGAGTTTCAAGCCCGACCTTTGGGACAGTGCATCACCGTCGCACAAAGCACGCGCGCACGAGCCTGGCTGGCGCACGGCGCATGCAAGTTCTATAGATGAGAAAAGTCTTATAATATATCCCTAAGGCAACTTCCGCCCCGCCTCGTGCGGGTACTACTGGTACCTATAGCTATAGGTTTAGGTTGAGATCCAGTTGTAGCTATTGCTATAGCTTTAGGTGCTGCTTGTACCTATAGCTTTAGGTTTAGGTTAAGATCCAGTTGTAGCTTTTGCTATAGCTACACCTGAAATCGTCATCGCTTCGACGGATTTTTTCTTCGGCTGCCCTTACCCCCTTCCTTTCCCCCCGTCCCCCATATCTAGTATAGTCTAGTCTAGTTTCGTCTGGTCTACTGGTCTAGTTTCGTCTCTTGTCGCAAGCGAAGTAGCACTCACCTTATTTACATCATCACATCATCCTCGTCTCGGTGGTCATCGTCCTCGTCCTCGTCCTCGTCCTCCTCCTCCTCCTCCTCATCGTCATGAGCCTCATTATCAGCATCAGCATCCTCCTCCTCCTCCTCATCATCATCATCATCATCAAAAACCCAACCTTTTACACCAAACAGCTTTACACAAGCCCTGCTTTGGGCCTGTAGGCCAAAGGCCAGAGGGCCGGCGGAATGCCGAAGGCTTTTAAATATGTCAGAAATTACGTCAGAAGTCATGTCAGAATATATGCCAGAATATACATGTCAGGTTACATGTTAGAGTACATGTCAGGAACAATACCGGGCTTTTTTCTGTATATGCGAGATTTGGTGCTTGATATATGCCAGGACCGTCGGAATTAAATCTCAGGATCCAACCCTGTAGTTATCGGAGTTTCTGTCGAAGCACGCGTCAGGATACAAACGTGCTAGCATTCTTGTCAGAACGTTTTGTTACAATGAGGATCGCACAAACAAGAAAAATCCTTGAATCCAACTGAACACTTAAACAAACAAATAGTAGTTTCTTTCTGAAAAACAAATCAC